TAATAGTTTATAATAGCACTATACAACCTGTGCGTTAACTCTAATGGTCCTTAATTTATTGTTTGATATACTCAAGAAGAGTTTTTTAGTTATATTATAATAAAATAAAAGTAAAATATGCAGCTAATACGCTTAGCGCTTCTGTTGCAAATGCAATAGATTTTTTAAGAAAGGAAGGAATTAATGAGTTCCAAAATAGTGAAAGTACAACAAAATTTATTAAAGTTATAGATAGGTTATTTGATTTCTTAAATTCGAAAAATTCATTTAGCAAAAATTTTAAACAACCTATAACAATAAACAACTTTTCCTTTCTTCAGAATATAGTGCAAGAAAGTATCGAATATTTATTTTCACTACAAAGCAAGACTGGTACATTTTTAAAAGCGTCTCCAAAAAAAACATTTATTTATGGTTTTACAATTGCTGCAAAATCAATATTGTCTGTAGCACAAGATTTGTTATTTTCTAATAATACTTATAAATATATACTATCTTATAAATTTTCTCAAGATCATTTGGAAATGCTTTTTGCGAAAATTAGAAGTTGTGGTGGTCATAATAATAACCCACACGCATTACAATTGCAATATATCATGAGAAAACTGTTATCCCTTATAGAAATATCATACTAAGAGTCATTGATAATTACTTATTTTCAGTATTAAAAATACTGAATAATAAGTAATTACCAATGATTCTTAATATGATATTTCTATAAGGGATTCCGAAATAATATAAGAAATTCTAATAATATGAATTGTACACAATTTGATACTGATCCCCTTGGTTCGATGTTTGATTTCACCTGGAAAAAGAAAACAAAAGAGATCGTATTATGTGAAAAAAATAGTGAAACTGATGATGAAAATTGTATTGGTAATAGCACGGATATACCTATTACACTGCAAAACTTACAGGAACATATGTTGTATTATATTAGCGGATACATAATAAGAAAGCTACATAAAATAAATTGTTATTCTTGCGCAGAAGCATTATTACAAAATAATACAGAACACAATTATGCACATTATGCACATTTTTCTAGATTTTTAAATTTTAATAACAATGGTGGTTTAGTTAGGCCTTCTACAAGTGTTTATAAAGTTATTCTGGAAACTGAAAAACATATTCGGTTGTTAAGTAAAGATTTCTCACAATTTGCAGTTAAACAGTTAGATATAAAAGTAATGACACATGTTAAAAATTCATTAGCACTAGATGTTAGTATATTTCCAAATTTATATTGTGAGGATATAGATTTATTAGAAATTCCACATAAACTTAAATTAATAACGACTTTAGCACAGCACTATTTAAAAATACGATTATATACATATTCGCAATTTTACACACAAGAAGTACTAAAACCACTGCGGAAAAGACACAGCTCACAAAACAAATTTTATTTTCATGTGAATAACTATTTGTATTCCTATAATTCTATGTTGTATTCTATATTATATATTCTTCGTTATCTTGTGTAATAAATCTTATCTTACCTTAATACGTTTCCTATTATAAATACCTACATACATTTCCTTTCTCATTTTCTATATAATTAAAATACATTATTTATTTAACTACTAATAAAAGAAATATATACATGTTTCGGTATTATTAATAATATAGCGCATAGAGAGAGGGAGGGAGGGAGAGAGAGAGAGAGAGAGAGAGAGAGGGGAAAGAGAGAGAAAACTTAGATTACAAAACCTGGTTTTGTTCTTGACAATAAAGCAGATTAGGATTTTAATTTTTTTTACTCATTTTATTTTATTTATGTTAAGAAATGATAATCATAACATATACTTTACCTTTCTTTTGTATGTTGTACACTGTATTTGTATATTTAGTATTAGTATTTAGTTTATAAAATTAGTGACATTATATATAATATAATTACGTGTAGATGCATATACTTTTACAAATTGTCATTCTACAGCTGCAAATAGCAGACGACACAGGAAGCATTCCACTTTATACTCGTATCAATTGCGGCATCACAGCGATAAGTGGAACGCTCCTAGAGGGTACTATGTCATGTATAAGTTGTACATTATATATGGGTACACTAATGGCGCCCGAGTTAGCAGTCTAAGGTATAGTATATATGTCTATGGTTTTTCATGACTGTTGATTTGGGGAATGGTATAGCATCAACGCAACTGAGTATACATAATTTCTGGTATATTCTCCGCATATAGTTATGAATTACGCAGAATGTAACAGCGCGCTATTAATAGCAAATTAGTGAGGCACAGTAGCACACAATCCTATTGAACACTGAATGATTGGTTAAATCTAATTCGATTTAGCAATTTAGTAGATAAAGCAGAACACCGGTTGGTGATGCTCTGCTTAGGACAGTCTGTAGCAGACATATACAGCAACAATATTAAAACGTAACTTCTGATAGTGCCGGTACCGATCGCTTTTGTCTCTATGTTTTTACGTCCACGTTTCTACATCTCTCCACGATTTCAATAATAAAAGGTAATCCTCTTTTTTCTTTTCTAAATATATAATATTAAATATTTAGATAATTATCCAGTTTAGCGGCCTCACCTCCGATTTCGATGAAAGTAGGCTCAATCGACGCGTTTTTGCATGCCAAATAACTTTTTCCTCTGACCAAATCGTCGCTCTCTACTGCGAAGCGAGATATTAATAGACAAAGTTGAGGGCGCGTTAGGTTAAAAAATCTGACATCACATAGACGTCACATAGACGTAAAGTACTGACACGAATATGCTCTGTCGCCATGTGCGCATGCTCTGTAGCCACATGCGCAAGAGTTTTCTTTAGTTGGCGCTAGTAAAGCTCGAAATTTAAAATGCAAAAAACATGAAAATGAAGACAATAAGTTGTTATGCATGTTATGTACGCACGCACGTATGCACAATGTTAAATTTATTTGACTTTGTATGTTTAATTAACGACCGTGACAAATTAATAGATTTTTTATTACAACACGGTGTTTTAGCATCTACAATACAGTGTGGTAAATGTAATAACGAGTTAAATATTAATAAAACAACATTATGGTACCAATGTAGAAAACGGTATTTGGTAAGAAACAAACATAAAAAATGTATTTCCGTGCAGTGCAATTTTAAGAAAAGTGCGACGAAAGGTACTTGGTTTGACAAGAGTCATCTTGACGTGGAAAAAATATGCAAAATTATTGCATGTTTTTTGATGTTACGACATCCACATCAAGATGACACGCAAGATGAAACTGGCATCTCACAAACGATTGTTGACTGGTTCAATTTTTGCAGAGAAGTAATTATATTTGAATACATATACATAATACAATTCTCTACTTAAGAAATATGTTTGAGAAAGATAACATGTAAAATATATGTTTTGATGTTATTTGTATTTACAGGCTTGTGTATTCTGGACTGAGAAGCAAAGCGAAAAGCTTGGTGGTCCAGGATGCACAGTAGAAATCGATGAAGCAAAAATTGGCAAGCAGAAATACAATCGTGGCCGACTCGTGCAAGGTCAAGGATTTTTGGAGGATACGAGCGAGAATCAAGAAAGATTTTTATTATTCCAGTGCAGGATCGGACGGAAGATACACTTTTACAGTGTATCAAAGAATGCATTTTACCGGGCACAACGGTGATATCAGATTGTTGGAAGTCTTACAATTGTTTAAACAGTGAAGGGTTCCAACATCTGACAGTTAACCATTCTTACAATTTCGTTGATCCTGAAACCGGTAAGAAATGTTTTAAATGCTATTTTCTAGTATCTAATTTTCTAATATTTTATTATTATATATTTTTTTACGTTCTCAGGGGCATATACCCAACATATTGAACGCGTTTGGAGAGAGGTTCGGGGAAATATCCCAAGATATGGGATTAGGTCTGATCACTTTATAGTATATTTGTCCGAATTTCTCTTTAAACGTGTTCATAGCCGACTGGAACGTATCGAAGTCTTTTTCGATATTATTGCAGAGATGTATCCTCCATTAATCGAGGATCTTTCCGAAAAGAAGCCAGGGACATTCGGAGCAAGTACCAGTACTGCGTGAAAAACATGTTTTTTATGTATCTTTGTACCGTTTTCTATATCGGTACCATAATATTGTTTTATTAATATTTAGCTCGTTATCATATTTATTATACTATAATATATTGTAGATGCTAAAACACCGTGTTGTATTAAAAAGTCTATTAATTTGTTACAATTGTTGATTAAAAAATTGGTAATTATTCAGTCATACCGTCTATCTCTAGCTATGTAACTAGGGGGCTACGCCCCCCAGAGCCCCCTATCACGGGGGGTGGGGGCTACAGTCTTTTGTGAGAAATTCACTCTTTAGCTTAAGCATAAGAGACTATAGCCCCCCCCTGATAGGGGGGTCTGGGGGGCGAAGCCCCCAGTTACATAGCTAGAGATAGATGGTATGACAGATTTTCTAACCTAACACGCCCTCAACTTTGTCTATTAATATCTCGCTTCGCAGTAGAGAGCGGCGATTTTGTCAAAGGAAAAAGTTATTTGGCATGCAAAAACGCGTCGATTGAGCCTACTTTCATCGAAATCGAAGGTGAGACCGCTAAACTGGATAATTACCAATATTTATGTGCAAAAATATTTTTGTATATATTTCTGATAATATGTTTGCATATAATCTTAATAATTTGCGATAAAATAATATTCAAAATTTTGAGATCACGCTTCCGAAAGTCGTAAAAAGGAACAGAAAAATATAATAAATTTTAAAGTCCAGTATTCTAAAACGCTAACTTTATCATCTATTTAGCGAACGAGATATATAGAGTGTCTTTATGTCTGCAGTAATCTGAATGTAACATAACCTCAATGTAACTAAATCTCAAAATTGTGACTTTGATATTATTGATCTACTATATTGTAAGCTTATATTTAATACGTATATGTAATATCAAAATGTTCATGATAGGTTTTCTTTATGTTATAGTTTCTTTACGATACCAATTTATTGGCAAACTCAGAGTATTAGCGATACAGCTGCGAATTATATATCTACAAGAATCAGTCAGGAAACTATCCAAGTGGGGCAGAAACTACAAACTAAGTATGATAATAAATTGGTTTACATCCAGTAAATCATAACATATATATATATAATTTATATTACAGAATTGTCACAAATGTAACATGTAATCATGAGAAGTATGTTGTGCAATCCGTGAAATGTACAAATAAAAGTACATTTGCTTTCAGTATACGTATAATTGCATTTTTTAGGAGAAATAATTGAGTAGGATCCGATTGACCACGGTACGATTGGATACAGATTATAATGATTGGTTCGATCTGGTAATTCACTAGATAATTCTTTTCATCGATTGGTGGTGTCCAATCGTACTGTAGTCAATCGGAACGCTCCCGAAATAATTTCGCGCTATATAACTCTAACCGAATCAGAGTTCGACAATGTTGCTGCAGAATGGTTACGCTTTGCCAAGCAGAGGAAAGAGAGAGATGACAAGATAAATACTACAAGAGAGAGGAATGACTGAGACAAATATTACAAATAATAAGTATATTAGTTAAGGGTCATCTACAATGGCTGTAAGAATATCGCTGTAAGGCTGTAAAACGCGATTGTAACTACGTATTTCCGGTGTAATAGATTGTAACGAAAGCTGTAAGCGAAATAAATTATTTTCATTTCTTACAACCTTAGCCTTACGTCGACCAATCAAAACAAGGCAGCACGTAGTAAAGCGCGCGAATGTTAAATTAGTTAAATTAGTTAAGTTCAAGTTAGTTGCTCATATAGTCCAAACTATCCAAACGTACCTAGAATTAAACTTCTTTTCAAAAAATGGGAAGTGAAGATGAAGAAGAGTTAATGGATGACGAGGAGAGAGAAGAGATAGAAGATAAAGAACTTATTAACATTATCAGAGCAAATCCTTTTTTATATAAAAAATCGGAAAAATTATATAGTAACAATGAGGTTAAGAGATTATCTTGGGCGGGTGTATATCAGTTGGACACGGGGCAATTGGACACAGTCCAATCACAAGTCGCTGTTCCAAGGGACCCTACAAATGTCTCTAATCACACGGTGCTGTGATTGGCTGTGTCCAAATACACCGTGTCCAAGTGCACCACTTCCATCTTGGACAACTACCGACGCAGGTTTATCAAAAAAAAAGACAGGTATTTGTAATTTATTTATATAAAACCTTGAATGAACAGAAATTTTCTAAATATTAAATTAATAAAGGTTTATTCATGTGAAAAGTGAGGTCATATTTGTATAGGTCCTGAGCATAGATTTCTCCAACTATGACAGCGGTTTGCAAAAGAAAGAAAGAAAATTATTCAATCTCAAGGACGATCTGGTGTTGAAGCCAACCATTTAACATATACTCCTACATGGGGTCTTTATAACGATTTGATGTTTCTAGTTGATGTAATAAAACATCGAAGGTAAGTGCTAATTACTTTGTTCTGATTTTAAATTGTACTGAAGCATATATTGATTATTTCATTCTTTTGTTTAGTACTACAACTAATTATAAAAAAAAACTCCCAACAACAACAGTACCTGAAACTGTGTTATATAATTCTGCGATGCACAGTCCTTCAACTTCTATATCAAGTTGCTCTTTATCTACACTAAGTGTGTATAACGAAAATCTGACAGTTTTTACTGAAGGTTTGTTTTTGAAAACTTACTTCTTATTTTTAACTATTGTCTTTATTATAATACAAAATTTATTAATATAAAAGACAGGTTTAATGTTCTAATGTCTTATTATTGGTATTTTAGATGATGTCAGTAAGCATTGAGACATATGCATATGCTGAAAATCCATTGCCTTTATCTACAAATATTATAACAGTTCCAGAAAATAAGCAAAGAAATACATCATCTGCAAAAAAAGTAGAACAAGTAATAACAAGTGCTTGTAAAAAGAGTGTTCCAGAACCAGATTTATTTGCTTAAAGCAAGAAACGAAAAGTAGATATCTTTAATAAAGCGATACTTCAGAAATCAAACCATTTGAATATATAGCACAAAAAGTAGGGGATGCATTGTTAACATGTACTTCAGAAGCGGGAGCGGTGCACTTGGACACGGTGCATTTGGACACAGCCAATCACAGCACCGTGTGATTAGAGACATTTGTAGGGTCCCTTGGAACAGCGACTTGTGATTGGACTGTGTCCAATTGCCCCGTGTCCAACTGATATACACCCTATCCAACTGATATACACCCCTTCAGAACCTGCTTCTGTTACACCTCATGCTACAGAATTTCTAAGTTCATTTTCTCAGGATATAAAAGCTATGTTAAGTTCTATAGGTTTTGCTTTGCAGAAAGTACCTGAACCTAAACAATTAGATTGCCTAATTGATATTATGTAGTTAGTGAGACAACACATTAATTACAAAAATTGAGTATTTTTGTGTATTATAAATCTAAATGTTAAGTGTTTTTGTTTGCTAGTTGGTACTCTGGCCAAAATGAGAGTGCAATTTATGTGTAGTGCATTATGACTTTACCAAAGTTTTAGTAATATAACGCAACTCGCACATGTGTTCCTAAAAAGTGTTAATTTATGTTTTATATTTAATATTCATAAAAAGTTGCTTTATATAATTTGTGAGAAGAAAATTTTTTAATAATAAAATATAATATTTCAATATGTTATATTGATCTATTGCTTTAATTAATATTGATAACAAAGAAACTTATTTTATTTTTATATATTTTATTTTATATTTGACAAATTGTACACTTATGATACGTAATTATATACACTATAATCTTCACAATTACAAAATTGAATAGTAATTGTGAGGACTATTGTAAATGTCTAACCAGGTATTTATATTATATCCCCTTAGTGCTTTTTGAAATTGCCAAGGTGCTTGAGCATTACCAGTAGGTGATATAAAATAATCTCTTAAATAATTTCTTAAATAACTTCTTAAATAATTTTATAAAATAATCTCTTAAATAATTTCTTAAACCTAAAGAAATAGCACCAGCTCTGTTAGCTCCTACTCGCGACAGTTCTTTAAAGTATTGATCAGCTCCTATAGTACGCCATCGACCTTCTATTATTATTCCTTCATCAGTCTCCATATCACACCAGTCAAGATGATAATATTTGCTATCATTACTGTTCATTGCAAAATTGTGTAAACAAATAAGTGCTTTACAAATCCTTTCTGCATTTTGTACTGAGCACATTTTTCTATGTAGGATTCTCCATTGAGAGCTAAGAATTCCAAACGCATTCTCTATACATAATCTTGCTCGCCCTAATCGATAATTAAATATTCGCTCTTCGTCTGTCATCTTGCCTACTCTTCTTGGGAAAGGACGCATCAGATATGGTTTCAGGGGAAATGCTTCATCAACCATAGCAACATAAGAGAACGGAACATCTCTGTTTGGTAAAGGTATAGGTTCTGGTAAGTTTGCTGTACCATTTTCCAAATCAACTGCCAAATCTGTCGTACTCCATATACTACCATCACTTATTGAACCTGCGAATAAGTTATGTTCATTACCCATTGAAAAACGGTTAAAAAAAAATATTGAATCCACATCGATTCAAACATCAATCCCGTTGACAAATTTATATCGATTCGACGTCGAATTTATAAATAGGATTGATATTTGATTAAATCAATGTGGGTTTAATGTTTTTTCAATCAACCATTTCTCAATGCGTAGTAAATAATGATGACCTATATCGCATAAAAAGTACATTTACCATATTGGCCAATATCAACCCACGTAAACTTGTAATTAGCATCACACATCGCCATGAGAACGATGCTAAAATATTCTTTATAATTACAGAATTCAGATCCTGAATATGGTGGTGCTTGTATTTCCATATGGCGACCATCAAGTGCCCCAATGCAATTTGGGAATTGCCATTTGAGAAAATAGTTTTTGCTTATTTTCTTCCAATCTTCACTATTTAATGTGGGTAAAACAATCGGTTGAAGAGCAAGCCATATGGCGTTGCAAACTTCTGGTGTAATTTGTGCACTGTTGATTTTCCACAACGGAATTCCAAATGTTTACTGCGCACAGTATCGCAGATACAAGATACCTAGAAAAAAAATAGGAAAGAAGCAATTAAACAGAATGTTAATTTAGTTAAAATTATTATCAATTATTGTAAAGAGAAAGAATGATAGCTACTTACGTTAAGGTAATGGCTAATTGTGTATTAGGTGACAAAGGTTTACGAATGCTACGTTTTCTTAAATATGGAGTTACTAGCCCTTATAGAAATATCATACTAAGAATCATTGATAATTACTTATTTCCAGTATTAAAAATACTGGATAATAAGTAATTATCAATGATTCTTAGTATGATATTTCTATAAGGGAGCTTTAGTAGAAGTTGATATTGTTTCGGCCAAAATCGAGTGTAAGCAAAAAATTTTTCGTGATCTGTCATTGTCATTTCACGAAATAGATTACACACAAATCCCTGTTTTTCTTTTTTTTTATTGATCGGCTTGACCCACCAACGTCTGGTTTTGATTTTTTTATTTTCTATAAGCTGAAGGAGAATACTTTGTTGTCTCAACAACATAAAAACGGTTATAAGTCCTAATTTCTTTAAATCCATTTGTTATTAATTTGATTAGAATAAAAAACAAGCTTTGATAAACACAGACGACGTCAGTTGAAAAGTTTAACATTCCTTTGGAATCGATACCGGTCAAAATTCCTTCTCCTACAAAAATATATAGAAATATAAGGAATAACTAAAAACTGTAATAAACAAATAAAATAATAAATTCTGAATAAATCTGTCAACGTACTGAGTTCTTCTTTTTTCTTGATCCGCCTTACATCTTTCAACCATTGTAGACAACACTGTTTTAAGAAAATTTTAATTCTGTGACCAAAGTTAACTTTGCAACCTTACAGCCATATGCTTACAGCCATTGTAGATGACCCTTTAATATTACAAGCACACTCATTCAATGGCATGTATAACATTGTACACACATATATTATATATGTATGTGTATATATACAATAGTATGTATTTATAATAATGTTAGCTACAAGCTAACATCATATCGAATACCGAATATTCGTTACATTTCTATTACAAACACATGTTTATAGTAATATTTATATTAGTGATATATCGTAAATATCACTTATTTCAAACCAAAGATTTGAGTAACATATATATTTTACAAATATATATGTAATTTAGATTTATTAATATTAAGTCTGTATGTTATTACATATAAATCGAAAATTATTCCGAATTTCATTTCAAGAATAACATGTATATGTCGTGCGTGGAACATTTGCTTATATTTGAATATCTTTTGAAAATTAAATTGAATGTTATCCTTTGAATTCCTTCTTCTGGATTTTAAACAAACCGGAGAAGTTTTGAAATATTAATTATAATTATTGTCACTTATATTAATTTATAGTATTGTTAATAATATATATGGCATGAATATTGTATAGTGGCAGAATCCTCTCCAATGATATTTCCAGAAGATAAGTTATTGGGTGTTGGAACTATTTCCTTTTGGCAGCAGAGTCCGCACTAACTACCCGGTGGGTGTTTGGACTGTTATCCTGGGATGGCAGAATCCGTATCGGTGGAATTTTCTGAAAATAAGCTAGTGGGTGCTGGGACTGTTCCTTTTGGGGGCAGAGTCCGCACTGGTTACACCGATGTGGGTGCTGAGACTGTCGTCCTTGGGTGGCAGAGTCCGCATCGGTGGAATTTTCTGGAAATAAGCCAGTGGGTGCTGAGACTGTTCCCTTTTGGATTACGATAGTAAGTGTAAAATGTTAGTTTTATTTAATTCAATATATTTCTTTAATTTAGTAATTTTATAAAATTTTTACTTTTAGGTTGCGAGAGATCTCAAATATATCGTTTAGCATATAGTATCCTTCCGCATCACTGCTGTATCGGGAACATGTAATTAGCTGTCTCTTACTTCGTCCAAATAATCCTTCATTCGTTGTCTGGTAATTAGCATTTGCTACACTTTTTCTGGCTGATTTCAAATTGGCTAAAATATAAAAATAAGAATATAAGTATTATACTTATCATTCTTGTAAAATGTTATATGTATTTTTAGTCCCAACACTCACTGGCCTATCTTCTGACAATACCGGAGCGGACTCTGCCACGCCATTGCCAAAATTTTCTAAATTCTTTTTTTAATGTTTGGAAGAAATAATAAAAATAACATTTAACTTAGTTTTCAAAAGATTCACAATATTCATTATATTCTCATATTTTTATGTGGCTCAAAAGATTCCATTATAACATTCTGCAGAATGTTTGACATATGTTTCGTATAGTTCTGTTTTTTTAAACATGTACGTTCATTAATATTACAATTTGACATTTTATAAAATTTTACAAGTATGTTTCCTATGATCCTGTTTCTTTTTTTTAATATATCTACGTTCATTAATATTGCGATTGACATTCTGCAAATGTTAAAAATATATTCTGCGACTGATTTTCTGTAAAATAATTTAAGTTAAGTTTCTTATGATTTCTTTGAGTGTGAAACCCATTTGGCTATGCTACGACTGGTTACAACTCTTGATTAGCTAATTAAAATAATATTAGTACTGACGAGCATTGGCCATTCGTTGTGTCCAACGTCAATGAATCGCAACGTGATCGAACCGAACGCTCTCGTTTCGTTCCCTCACAATTATATTTTAATAATTAATTCACCTTGTTTATTGTGATAAACTCGTAAATATTTATGTTCTGTGATAAACATGTTACATACCATAT